GACCCCATAGCCGCAACGTTCACGTTCTCTTTGTATTTGTTATATTGTGAAGCTTGCTAATATACTTTTCGTTCGGTTTTGTATCTTTACAAATTTAAAGGAAATAAGGTGAGTCTTCCTCCTATAATATTTTGTTAGGGGGTGGGGGTGGTTGGGGGGGGGGGGGGGGGCTCATGGTGCTTAAACCCCCGGCTGCAGGCTCTCTGTCTCCATCACTAGTCTCTCCAAAACATTGCGTCAGCGACCGGGTCACCCATTGGTCTGCCGGTAGACGACCTCATCGCCGGGCGGGACACTATTTGGGTCTGCCTTCTTTGATCGCATCAACACTGTAGGAGTTTTTTTTCCAGGGCTATAGGTGGCGTGCAATGCTATCCATTTTATCTGGCGCACATAATCTAGTCACAATTATAACCTAAAGCTCCACGTTTCCGGGATGCTGGCTGAACGTGTTAATTGTTTGTTCTTTTTTTTTTCTTCTTCAAAGCTGAAGATGATCGTGACCCAAACCATTGTTTAGTTTACTACGGCCGAAGTATTTCATTTCATGAAAAACGAATTCTGTTTAGGCCCTCGTCCTCCTGGAAATTTTTGTGGCCGTCACCCCGTAAACTCCAGCGGAAAGTTTTGTGGTTCTTCCACTTCTGGATTTTGGTCTTGTTCCAGAGCTTGAGCTTTCCATGCACGTCAGTTTTACACGTCAGGCTTATTTGTGTGCAGACTGTGTCACTTCGCCGCTCAGGCAGATGCACTTCGAATTCGAGGGAAGTCTCCTTACACAATTTCTCGAGAGACCTCAATGAGGTCTTATTAAGCTGTAGTAATAGAAATAGTAGCAGAGTAGCATCAATAGTAGCACCACTAGCAGCAGTAGCGGTAGCGACAGTAGAAGTGGTGTCAGAATTAATTCTTAAAGTCCATGTCGTGTGGCGTTGATTGTTATGTCTATCCACAATCTTCTGTCTCGTGTATTTTCAGTCATCTCTGACACAGACGATCCCATGCCGTGATGTCAGTATGTCCAGCATTTTTTCTGCCAGTCTCTCTCTGCCTCTCCTCCCCACCAACTTTCCTGCTATCACAAAGTACTCCAATTTTCTCCTTCTCGTCACATGACCAAAGAATATAGATTGTCTCCTTCTGATGTGGGCAATCAATTCTCTTCGTGAGTCAGTTTCTATCAAGACATCTTCGTTACTTTCTATATATCCAGGGTATTCTCATCAGAATGACAGACAAATATATTTTCAATAATATTTGAATGGTAGACCTATAACGAATACTGAATAGAGAACTACTTTGCTTGGTTGTTGAGAGTTTAAACGGGGACGGGAGCGCTCATTGTTTTGATGGGGAGAGGTGGGAAACAAGGTGCCAGAACCCCACAGTTCCATCAACACTTGCCGTCTGGCTTAGCCGATCATGATTCTCCCCATTTTGTTTTTTCGAACAGAATATTCTAATTTGGAGCTTACGTATTTCCATTCAATGATAACATGCTTTCAAGAATCTTCTCTTGTTGTCTTCGTCTGCTTATCTTTCCCTAATCTTTATTGTTGCAGATATCACAGTCTAGCTGTAGACCACAACATATCATGCCATCTCCGTGTAGGTTCAGGGGCCCTCTTATAGGAAAAACAAGAATAGACCCACTGCCTACCCAAAAGCATGTCGTAGAAGTCGACTAATTGGGAACTTCCTTTAAAGTCGGAGTACATCTGACTGAGAGGCAAGAAACCAGCAGTCTGCATACACATAAGTCAAATCTGTAAAACGGATGCACACGCAACACTCAAGTTCTGGAACAGGACTGCAGTCCAGAAGTAGATGAACAACTAGAACTTGCCACCAGAGTTTACAGCTGGTGAACGCGAAGAACAAGAAGAAGAAGATATGACAGACACCCTTTAAATAAAAGAAATCGTAGAAGTGCCTCGCATAAACAGCTGGCGTTGCATTCGTTAAATCGTAAACTGTAGAAATAAGGTTATATATAGCTACAGAGGAAACGCACAGTACATGGAGACAGGCCAACAGTATTCGACCGGGATACACAGACATACATGCTGTGGCTAAAGACTAGTAGACACAGTAAAAAAAGCAGTTGATTGTTAGCAAACATGCCGGTAAGGTTGGGTAATGTTTAATTCACGACTGATGATTGTATTGTAAATAAAGTCCGTTGTTGTTGTTGTCGCCGAATCTTTTGCTGTTGTTGACTTGTTTTGCTTCCATCTTATATACTAATATAATACTGATACTGGTAAAGTAATAGTTGCAATGATTTCAGCAATCAGTTTGAATCCGCTGTAGATAGATGATTCATTTTTATGTTTTCATAACGTTTGTTCAAAAATACAGTGTAACCAGATAACAAAAGTGCTGAAAAACAATAAGTCGAGTACCTATTTTAGGTCTTTACACATATTTGTTTTAAAACTCTTTTGTGAGGAAACACTTGTTTGCAGGGAGGCCCACAATACAAAGTTAAAAGCAGTTACCAGTTTTAAACTGTCTAAAATAATATACTTTAAACTGTTAATTTCTCCACAGATATATTTTGAAGAAACTTTAAGCCAACTTAACTGTGTTGTAAACTCTTGAGATGCTATCAAATAATGGATTTACGCTATCACTGACAATTTTAAGACATGGATTTATGCCACAATGGATCTTCTCATTACTGAAGTTATGCTATCATAATAGATAATAACGGGTTTAATATTTTTGGAAAAGCTGTTGTCACTGATAAATAGTGCATCTGCACTGGTATAGATAATACATGCGACTGGGAATTAATATCTTTACGCCATCACTGATATATTAATTAATGGGCTCTCCTTGCAATAACGGTCGCTAGTTGGACGGCGACGGCCGCTTAGTCGGAGTTCAGTCCCCTGGCTGCAGTGCAATTACGGAGTGGAAAAGAGGGAACGACACAAATGACATAATTAGAGGTAGGGTTTGGGTTAGGGTTAGGGTTAGGCTAATGTGAGCCTCAGTGTATGGTCTAGACGCCATGTTGAATTCACTGTGTTTTGTTATTCGTGCCTTGTCCACTCCGTAATTGCACTGCAGCCAGGGGACTGAACTCTGACTAAACGGCCGTCACCGTCCAAGTAGCGACCGTTATTGCAAGGAGAACCAATTAATGTTTTATGTTATCTTATCAAACATAATCAGTGGATTTAATGCTATTCTAGATTATTTTAAGATACTTGGTGGCGGCTTTACACTGCCATGTTAAGGATTTTGGTAATCACTGATAATTAGTTTATTTAAGCTATCAAAAATTATTACTGGATTCACTGGTAAGTAAAAGTGAAGGGCCCTTTTCCATGCCTTTCAGATGTATTGGGTATATAGGGCTAGACCTATATTTTTTAGACCAACGGCTCAAGATAGGTGATATGGTCAGCATCACGCCCGCCACCTTTACTTCCAAGGACTGCACCTGGTACTCACTCAAGGCTGAGTCAACCTGGGAGCCAAAGTTATTTTTTTTTAAAAGTCCGGCTCCTCCAGGGAGCGAACCCATGACCTTCCGGGTCTAGCCACTATGCCACGCAGAATACTGGTATTAGTGGTAATTAAGAGATTCATTGTATCACACTGGTGATTATTTGATTCACTCTGTAAATGGTGACTAGATTATTATTATTTACAATCAAAAAGAAGAAATGGTAATTGCAAAGAAAACACCCTCCAAAATGCAGCATCAAAGTAAATGGAACAAACCTTAAGCATGTTGATATGTTTAAGTACTTAGGTGCCCTGATAACATCATATGGAAGTTGCATTAAGGAAGTCAAATGGCAAATAGCACAAGCAAAGGCAGGATTTGACAAAATTAAGAATATTTTATGCAATCTTTCTTTGTCAACTGAGATGAGAAAGAAAATTGTTAAAAGTTATATAAATCCTATAATATTATAAGGAAGTGAATCATGGACAGTTAGTAAATTAATTAACACTTTTTTTGGTAGCTGCGGAGGTAAGCAGACAAAAAGAGTAATGAAAACGTCTTGAAAGAAGCTGACTCACAAAGAGAATTGATTGTCCACATCAGAAAGAGACAATCTTTGGTCATGTGATAAGAAGGAGAAACCTGGAGTACATCATGGCAGTAAGAAAGTTGAGGAGGAGAGGCAGACGGAGACCAAGGGAATAGATGCTGGACATTCTGACATCATGTTAAGGAAGATCATCTGTGTCAGAGTTGATTGAAAGTGCATGAGACAGAAGGTTTTGGATATACATGACTAACAACACCACATGGCATGGCTTTAAGTGTTGTGGTTGGAGAAAGATTTGTAAAGGAAGATAGTGGTGCTTTTTCTCGACTACCAGCAATATGACTATTGAAGTGAAGGTAGTAACAAAAGTAATGACCTTGCTAGGGACACATACCCCCCCCCCCCCCCCCCACTGATTCCATGATCTGCTAAAGAAGATCGATACAAAATGAGTTCAAAGACAATCGTCGGAGTTTTGAGAAAATCTCATCTTACAGGAATCACTTTCATTTTGTTTGTTTGTGTGTGTGCGTATGTGTGTGTGTGTGTGTGTGCGCACAAGCGTGTGTGTGTATGCACATGTGGGTGTGCATGCCAGGGCACCCTTGGATAAGATGGAATGAATAAGAGGACTGGCTTGTGGCAGGACTACAATAGACACAGGAAAATCAGATGTGTCTAATCAATGGACCAGGCCAGTATTCATAATGCTCTGAAGAAGGCAACCTTGACAATTCTACATTAAACTTCATTTCAACAGATGTTATTAGACATGAATGTAGCTAAAGAAAATAGTAAACCAACAAATAACTGGTTTTATAAGTTGCCAAACACTGAGTGAGATACTGAAGATGAGATCCGAGCACTCTAATTTGCAATGAAGATGATCAGTTGATTAACTAACTAACATACACATACACTGTGTGCACATTATCATGATTGTCTATAAAATGTTGCAACACAGTCATGGTAATTTGTTCACAGCCCTCTACTCCACACCTCGTACCTCTTCCCTTTGCACCGTCAGATGGTAAGGAAATTGTTGTGGAGGGAACCATTAGGCACGATGCCAAAAGGTATCTTTTTGTCTTTATTATTAGCATCTTATCCTAAACATTCTCTTTAACCCTTTCACTGCTACATACTCCGCAGCCATCATTACCACTGTACTAAACAAGTTCTCCACTGATCCTCACTCCTCTGCTGAATACTTTTCTATCCTTGAAAGGTAAGATGCAACAGCGGTGCTGGCTATATTCTGTACACATTAAAATATTTACCCTAGGGAGGTAGGTTTTTGGCCCGAGTGCTGACATCAGACACACTTGTGATGCTAAGAAACCTTGCATTTAGAGACAATAAAGACTAGATAATATATTTAATTGCCCAGCTTCACTAGTGACAGTGAAAGAAAAATGCATCATCTGCTAAGTCTACTTCATCGTTGTCTCCACCCCTGCCATATACATAGTAGAAATTTCATGGAGCAGGCACAACAATAGCCTGTCATCATCATGTAGGAGGTCCTTTGCAGAACATTGCTCTCACACAGCCTGCCTGAAAGAAACTCGGTCTCTCGCCAGTTCTCTGGCCTCATGCACTTTCACACTCAAGGAGTCACTGATATCCTCTGCCCATCTTTGTGTCGGTCGGCCCCTGCCCCTCCTTCCTGGTACCATGCCTTCTGCTATAATTTTTTTCCAATCCGTTGTGGCGCCTGATATGACCAAAATATTTCAGTTTTCGAGAAAGGATGCTGTTTATTAGCCAATCTTCCTTGATGTTCAAATCTTTTAGGATGTCAATATTTCTCATCTTCTTTGTCCAAGATATTCTGAGAATCTTTCTATAGCATTTCAGCTCAAAAGCCCCTATTCTATAATAGCCTGTAGATGTTCTAAAAGCAGTGAGGGCTCAAACACAACTTGTCATAAATATCAGAAAGAGACAGATAATTTTGTGGGTCATGTATGACAATTGGGAAACTAGAACATGTTGTAACCACTGGAAAGATTTTTGGACACAGAGACAGCAGAAGACACCACAAGAAGATTCTTGACAGTCACTTGTCATGGCATTGATTGGTGTCAGCACACGAATAGATACCCACAGTTGTAGATCTCAGATTGTGGAGTGGCATGATCACCTATACCAGTTGGCAAGGCACATGACGAATGTTGTACATTGTGATAGACAGTCACAGGCATTGTTTGTTGTATAGTATAGAAGCAAATTCATTTCAGTCGTCAGTCATGTCAGGATATGGCCATATCCTCTTGTTGATCATTGGGAATCCATTTAAAATCCAGTCAATGTTGATGGCTGAGTTAGATGGTATTTCTCACAGCCAGAACAACACATCCATGGAAAAAAAAAGGGGGGGGGGGGGGGAATAAGTGAACTTATAACTCAGAAATTTCAAAGTGATCTTTGCTATTACTTCTTAAAGGAAATTCCAGTAATTATTCATCAACTTTAATTAAACAGTTTTCTTGCTTCTTTAAATATACAAAAATGTAGACTAATGCAAAACCAGAAATATACTTTTGGGCAAAAAATGCACAGTTCATCGACCACGGTTCTATGCTAAACAAAGTAATAAGATAAATCAGAGCATAACTAAATACACCTAAATGCACATGACAAGCATTTTAATCATATGTAAGTGGGTCACTTGAATCCGACTTTGCGTAATGTTTATTGCCATTTCACCCCCAAGAATTACAGTCCTTAGCAGTCTGTAAGGAAAATAGAAATCGTCTTTCTACGTCCATGGTAGCAAGGGCACACAAAATGGAAGATGCAGAAATACACCCTTAGCAGTTTATGGGGCAAACGTATAATAACGTCCATAACAGCAAATGATATGATTTTCTTTCAATACTCCTATTTCTTATTGGAACTCTGTGTTGGCTGCTGAAGATAAGGACAGGGCATGCATGGAAATGCCCTGAGTGATGTGATGTCAATTCTTGTCTCAAATCAACTCAACTCCTATTTCTTATCCTAGTGGTTCTGTTTAAAAGAAATGCTTTTTTTTTTTAACCACCAGCCTCTCATCCTAGTGTTTCCTTCAGTTATATGCTTTTCTTTAAGAACTGTTAATGTCTTATCCAACTGCATATCCTTGCAGAACCAACCCCAGCATTTTTTGGCTGGTGTGGTTTTACTAGACAAGTTTACGTCCAGCAGTCATTGCTTTCTGGACGGTTGGCTTCTTGATACCACTGTCGAAACCAATTCAAGGCGCAAGGCTCGCAGCTGGGATCGAACCTGGCACCCGGCATAACAAAGCCTGTTCCTAACGCCTAAGCCACGGAGTCTTATCCAACTAGCTCTATTTAAATGCTGTACTTCTCTTTTGTAACTTTCGGTGTCTTATCCTCATCAATCAATCAATCAGGTGCCGTCTCCACAATGAAGGTTGGCTGCAATGGATCTCCAACAAGCCCTGTCTCTTGCCCTTGATGTACACTCACTCATACTGCTGTTCGTCCATCTCTTGATGTTATCCTCCCACTTGTAATGCTGTCTGCCTTTTGCACACCTACCTTGAACCTTTCCCTCTAGGATAATCTTTACAATACTGTTATGTCTTTTAATGTGGCCAAAATATTTCACTTGTCTCTTTTTTATTTATCTTATCCTCAATGCCTCCTTAAATAATATGCTTTTATTCCCCATATGGGTTCTGGGTTTCTATTGTGTGAAAACAAGAACAGACTCACTGCCTCCCCAACAAGCATGACATAGGAGTTGACTAATTAGGAGCTTCCTTTGCAATTGGAGTGCATCTGCCAGAGGGCAAGGAACCAACAGTCTGCATACAAATAAGTAATATTGGTAGAAAGGATGTCCAAGCAACACACATGCTCTGGAACAAGACTAAAATCCAGAGGTGGGCGATCAAACAGAACTTTCCATTTGAGTTTACAGCCAGTGAACTCAAAGAAGAATAATAAGATACGCTTTTATTTCATAACTCTTAGTGTCTCATCTTAGTTAAGGTTAGGGTAATTTATAACTTACCCCTGACGTCACGACAACGTCACGGGAGACATTCCCAATAAATTCTAGGGTGTTCAGGTTGTAGTTTCTCGCGATTTATCTACAGCCAAGTTTAGGCTTAGGGTTAGCGTTAGCATTAGAAGACACTAGATTAACACTCAAAAAAAGCACCACACAACAGCACACTTCCACCCCTTGAAATAATGGACTGTCAGGTCAGCTGTGGATTTCCCACGGGGATTTCGTGTTTGGAGTACGTTATAAATTAAGAACCAAGGTTAGTTGCGTATCCTTTACAGGACGTTGCAGAACCAACCACAGCAGCCCCTGGCTATTGTGTGGTTTCTCATGGCAAATTACGTCCAGTAGTTTGCCATTTCGTATTGGACAGTCAGCTCTCTGATACCACTGTCGAAACCAACGCAAGGCGCATGGCCTGCACCTGGGATCGAACCCGGCACCCCGGCATTACGAAGCGTTCGCATCGACTTAGCCATAGAGCTGACCTTATCTTAGTAGCTCTCCTTAAATTATATGCTTTTCTTTTGTAACACCTAGTGCCTTATGCTGGTGGTTCTCTTTAAGGCATTTGAAAGCAAATGCCTGATGAAATTGTTGAATGATAAAAGGGGTGAATTCAAGACAGGGGAAGACATAAGAGAAATGTCTGGACAACTGCTGGTATCATCAATTATTAGTCAAAGCAGATGTCCATATATTGGGCACATGATAAGGAGAAATGGACAGAGAATCACCAAACAGGCACTGAAATGGGACAGAAATAGACTGAAGAAATGAGAGATGTCCAAGAGAAACCCTGAGATGAATGCTGTTGAGAGAGGCCAAGTGGACTGGACTGGATTTCATACCTGATATTGAGAGGATTGCACAGTATAGAACTGAATAGAGTGCGAGACTGCTAGCCCTGTATGACATATAACAGCAAAATGTGATGGTGATGATGATTATTTCAGTTCAGTTGAGTCAAGGATTGACATCACAGCACTCGGGGCATTCCCATCTGTGCATCCCTCCTCATCTTTAGCGGGCAGTGCTGAGTTCCATACTGACGGTACCGGTCACAATCTGATTATGTGTCTGTCTTACCTTTCCTCTGAGTGTAGTGAGCCGGCCACACCCTCTGGTTACACCTGGGAGCCTCATTCTCTCCAGACCATAATAATCTTGTTTCTCTACTGATTCTGTTGCTTGTTGCCAAAGCGCCTTGACCACGTCTGCCTTGTTGATTATTGAATATCTTATTAATCTCTGCTTGGTATTTAATCAAACATGTAGTGATGATTTTAACACTAAATTTTGTAACTGATAGTGTCTTCCTGTGTATCTTACCTTATGTATTGTTTTTTTCACCTCACATATAGCAAATGGTTCTACAATTATTAGTGTCATTTTGTCTTCTTCTTCTTTCATCACTTAAAATAGATTATCTTTATCTGTCATGTTGTCTCTAGTATGAACTTCACTGTCTTTTTTTATTCAATATGTGATGCATAAAGTTTGGCATCCACTGATGTTTGTCTTGGCTATAAGTTTTGCCTTGGTATGTTTATTTAGAACAGCCTTAAAGTATGTAATCTGTTGTTTGAAGGACCATTCAACATGTGCACATGACTGATTCACCAATCCTAAATTATGTTTGTATGTGGCTGCGAAGTCAATAATACCCTATTCTGAGACATAGAATATTGACTTGCTCTGGTCTGTCCTTAACGTGGTAATGATCGTTTTGGGTATTTTATTTTGTTAATTTAAAAAAAAAATATTTTATGTAAGGAATGTTTCTCTAATCCACAGAGTTACTTTCAGTCTGTGCAGGGGGAATGATCTCAGTTATGATACACCATTGACCTTTGACATCAGATTAGATGACTGTGTGGTGGTCAGGAATCACTTTCGTAACCGCTGGGGAACTGAAGACAGATTCGGTGGCTTTCCTTTCAGGAGGGGGGAAAATTATGAAGTGAAGTTTGTTTTCAGAAATGATGCATTCCAGGTGTGTAAACTTAACTATGTGTTTAAACTGTAATTTAGAACTATGACTTTGGGCAGAGGAATGCATTTGAGAGAGCACTTTTCCTATAGTGATAAAATGCAACCTAAAAACTTAAAGCAGGGCAGATCAAGCTCTTAACATTGGTTATCACAGGTCTGGGAGGAAAGGGTATTAGTGTTACCTTTCCTTTGAAGTAAACAAGGCAGGCTGAGAGAGGAGTCATGCTACGTATGTTGAATGTTGACACCCCCATAAGCACTCCCTCCTCATCCTCAGCAGCAGTCAAAGAGTTCCAATTTTGATGGTGCCAGTAACTGTCTGATTGTATATCTACTTTACCCTTTCTTTGAGTGTTGAGCGTCGGCCAGATCCCCTGATTCTTATCTGCATCTACTATGAGATTATGACTTTGCCAGCAGAACTATGATCCTATCTGCATTAGTACCAGTGCAATTATATATTGCATTCGTACTATTGTACATCCCAGAAATACCCACACAGCTTTATTCTGTATCATTCAAGTTTTGTCAGCTGACTCTTTGATACGGTAAGCTTTCCAAGACAATAATCTATCACTGACAGGAGCACTTCATGCTACATATACAATACATATATACAATACTGACCAGGCTTTGTGCTTTGGAGAAGTTTGGTTCTATGATCCCCATATAGCACCATATAACGGTATCATATGGAAAGATGGAAAGTTATCAACAAGACTGGAAACCTAATGTAAAAGATGGATAAAAATGATAATAAAATTTAGCTATTCGATTTTCATGTTTGCTTGCCTCTCAGGCTGATGGTTATGGTTTGAATTCCTTTTGAGGCAGATTTTTATTAACTAACCATACTGTTTTATAGTCATTAATACAATTATCTATGTGAAAAGCTGTTTAATGGCATCTGTTTATTTATCCAGATCTATGTTAACAAGCAACATTTCTGTGACTTCAAATACTGTATTGAAAAAGAGGCTGCACGCAATCTTTTCATCGAAGGAGACTTTACAATCAACAGAATTTCCTTCCCAGGCTCTGAGGTAAGTAAAACATAAAACATGCTTTGCCACGGTTTGAAATACATTCACAGTGGGGAAAATACCAGATGATCTAGCCAACACTCAAGGAAGAGCAAGACGGACAAACAATCAGACTACTACTGGTAACATTGGAATTGGAACTCTACACTGGCTGCTAAAGATGAGGATAAAGCACTTATGGGAATGTCCCGAGTACTGTGATGTTGGTTCTTAACCCTTTCACCCCAAGAAGCCACTAAACTACACTTCTGGTTGGGTCAAATTCCCCCTAAATGTCACTTTTCCGACTTGTCTGTGGTGACCTGTTTCTAAGACGCATAGTTAATGCTATAGGCAGTGCTAATTGTTGTTCACTGTGCAGATTGTTGTTTATTTGAAGATTTTGTGATGGAATTCCACCGAGGTCATGGCACCTTTTTTTTTTGGCATTACTGGGGTAAAAATTTTTACTTAGCTCAGCTTAACTGAAACTTACTAAGTTATGTTATGTTATCACAATCAACGTCTTTGTACATTGGGCATCCTCATGAGAGTTCAGTCCTTCAATGCAGCAGCCACTCCAAGGTACCTCTGCTGATTGTTCCCACAAGGAGTTGGTTATAGTATCTTCTGTCTTTACCTCGAAGGCGACTTAGGTGTGCTTCAGCGGGCCTAACTCCTTAGTCAGGCAATCGTGTAGTGTCAGATTTTGACATTATCCCCTAACCTAATCCATACAGCATTAATGATATCAGTTAATTGCTTTACAGTTTCAACCTGACCCAAAGACAAATGCCTCATTTTTTTTCTGTCACTTCATGATATTCATTAAATTATACACATTAACCATATTTCTGTTGTCAGTAAGCATTTTCCCACTTTTTTGCTTATTGTCCATGACTCACGTGCATATAACAACACAAACAACACAGGTTCTGTAAAGCACTTCAACACTTTGGGTTGAGACATATGTGATATTTAAAACTGGGTAATTTGCAGCTGCAGATGTTTTTCATTTGGTAATCAGTCTTGTTTGTTTACTTTTAGAATCCAGCAGGTGGAGTCAATCCTCCAGCCCCTTCTGTAAGTTGCAATTCTGTTTGTACGTTAGTATAAAGTTAATAGGAGCTATGGTGCCAGAGAAGTTAGTGTGCTTCCTTGATAAGACAGTGGTATGTGTGCAGTACCATTCAGATGCAGAATTATTTTGTTCTGGCATCTCTGGGTTGACTTAGTCTCTTAAAAATGTGATCCTGCGTAGATAGCATCCTTTGGATATTTTCTCCAGGGCATGACGGTGTGTTGGGAAATGAGTAGGCAGATAGACTGGCCAGTTCTGCACCACTTGATGGTGAATTGATGTATGACAAGCTCGATGTTGTGAGAGCCCTTTGGGAATGAGTGAACAGTGTCGAGGAACAGATAGATAATTAGGGTCTGAGGAAAACGGCACTGCGAGAAGTTACAAGGGGATCTGGCTGACACTCAACACTCAGGGGAAAAGGGAGACGGATAAACAATCAGAGAGTTACTGGTACCATCAGAATTTTAAATCTTCGCTTGCCGCTGAGCATGGGGATGGAGCACTTATGGGGGTGTCCTGAGTGCTGTGATGTTGATTCCTAATTCAACATTCTAAAACTTTGTGCTGGATAATTTTTAGAAAATGAAGAATTTATGTGAGAGACGAATGTGGTAAAGAAGGAAACTGACAAATCTACAATGAATATTGGTCTAGAAAAATTTACAGTGAAATCTGAATAGCTCTTTATGATGTGAATGAGGACGGGCTGGAGGTGTCAGTCTTCAGGTATAAAAAGGTAAAGGTAAAGTCAGGAGATGTTGACCAGCGTCATTGCAGACAGTTATAAACCGTAAGTCCTTTTCCACTAATGTGGACAGCTGGTAAGAAACTGTCCACCTGTGTTGCCATCTGCACACCTCCGTAGCTACAGCGACGTTCCTCCATTTACCCCAGAGTGTTAACCCTGGTACCCATTACCTATAGGCTGGGTGAACCTAGGAACCCCCAGTTTCAAACACCGGCTGTGGGCAGCAGTGATTCGCAGCTGGATTTGAAAGTGAGTCTCCTATCGACTGCAGTAACGCGGCTCCCCCTTATCAGATATATATATAATCCTCTGTGTGGGTTCTGGGGCCCCATTGTAAAAAATAATACACACTGCCTCCCTAACAAGCATGTCATAAGAGTTAAGTAATTGGGGGTTTCATTCAAAGTTGGAATGCTTGTGCCTGAGAGCCAACAGTGTGCATGCAAATAAACCAGATTTGTAAAATGGATGTGCACACAAAACTCCGGTTCTGCAATAGAAGTGGATAAACAACAACAACTTTTTCTGCCGGAATGGATGGCTAGTGAAGGCAAAGAAGAAGAAATAAATATAATATTCTTCTTCTTCTTCTTTTTCTCGTTCACCAGCAGTAAACTCCGGCAGAAAGTTCTGGTTGTTCATTTACTTTTGGACTGCAGTTCTGTTCCAGAACCTTAGTGTTGCGTGTCCATCCGTTTTACAGATCTGACTCCTTCGTATGCATACTGTTGGTTTCCTGCCTCTCAGGCAGATGCATTCCGACTTCGAAGAAAGCTCTCAATTAGTTGACTCTTATGAGATGCCTTTGGGTAGGCAGTGGGTCTATTCTTGTTTTCCCTATAATAGGGCCCTGGAACCCACAATTCTTTTTTATGTATTTCTTTCTGTAATGCTTTTAGTGTCATGAGAAATATACTGTAATTTATTTTATTAACAGTATGTGACAATTAATTTAAAATGAGAATTGTTAAATGTTATATGATTTTGATTTGTTGAACATGCTGGGCTTAAGAGTGTGGACTTGGCCTTAACAAGCATGTCATAAAAGGCTACAGATTAAGGGTTTGCTGAAACTGGATTTTTACTGCTGAAAGGTGCAGAAGAAGAAGAAGATATGAAGTAAATGACTTCATCAGATCACTACCGAAATCACCAGGGGAAACTAAAAATTTAGACTTTTGCAGCAGCAAATGTTTGTCATTGTGTTATCAATATCTTGTTGTTTACTTTCAGTATCCTGCAGGTGGAGTGAATCCTCCAGCCCCATCTGTAAGTCACATTTCTGTTTGTATGTTAGCACACAGCTAATAGTGACACATTATTGTTAGTGTAAATATCTGTCAATTTCAGGAAATTCCAGCTAGCAAAACCAGTTACCCCAGATAAGTGAAGATCAATACATGATCAGGTAACTGGGTAAATGCAGTTCCACTTTTATAGCAAACCAGTCACCCCATAGTTGCTCTGCTCCTGGGCCAACAAAAACTATGCACAACGTCCATCCTTGTCCCATGTAAAAAAAATAAAAAATAAACAAAAAATTGTTATAGGAGTCTAAGCAAATCCAACAGCCTTCACATTAAACGCATAAAGCAGCCGTCACTAGAAATGCTGTTCATTGCTGGAAGCAACAATGACAACAGATCAGTAGTTGCACACATAATTAATTGCATGAGACACCACAGTAACAGACCACTCGCCATTTTATGAATTTCAACACAAACTATGCTGGGCACAGTAGAAAAGCATTCCAAATGAAATCTTCAGCTCATAGTGTTGCACCATGCACTCAGCTTAGTAGCTGGGCAATGGAACTATAATATTTCAGTCTAGGTATGAAGCAAAATGCAACGGCTAACTAGTTTCAGAAGCCACAACAATGAAAAAAACTAAACTGACTATACACACCATATTGGTAGGAAGTTTCATCATCAAAGAATCCAACAACCCCCAAGGAGAAATTGAGTTGCCATATAACATAGGAGTAATGGCCACCATATTTAAGAAACTGTCTTTACTGCCAATGTTTGCCACTTTTAGGATGGTGTGCAGGATGGAGGGTCATGATCCTGAGGATTTAAGGTAACAGCAAATTTGTCGTAATGAAAGTTTATAAAAACATGTAAATTTTTCTTTCAGTATCAACAAGGCGGAGTCTACCCTCAAGTTCCCTCTGTAAGTCAGATTTACGTTTGCAAATTAACTTCAAAATTATTAGAAAATATATAATTTGCTTTTAATATTGCTTCTTGTCTCCTTGTGGCCCTAATTTAGAAAGAAAAAGAAATGAATTGGCCTACTGTCCCGTAACAATCATGTTGTAATAGATGGCTAATTTGGGTTTTGTTGAAATAGGATGTGTTAGGGAAAAAAGGAGCAGAAATTTCAACCTAGCTCTAAACTTCTGCACAATTAGGGCAAAGATCTAACTCTAGACTACTGCATTCATTTGTTGTAATGAGACGTCTCTATCAAAGATCTAACTCCAGACTCTTGCATTCATATGTTGTAGTGAGACGTCTCTATCAAAGATCTAACTCCAGACTCATGCATTCATATGTTGTAGTGAGACGTCTCTATCAAAGATCTAACTCCAGACTCTTGCATTCATATGTTGTAGTGAGACGTCTCTATCAAAGATCTAACTCCAGACTCATGCATTCATATGTTGTAGTGAGACGTCTCTATCAAAGATCTAACTCCAGACTCATGCATTCATATGTTGTAGTGAGACGTCTCTATCAAAGATCTAACTCCAGACTGCATAAATTTTTTATAGTGCTACAATTGTTTCGAAGAGCAGACTCAAAACTCTGGCATTCAATTGTAGTTTGCTACACCTCAGCCAGCAATCTAACTCTAGACTCCAGCATTCATTTGTTGTAGTACCATGTCCTTATCAAATATCTAACTCCAGACTAGCATTCATTTGTTTCAGTGAGACGTCTCTATCAAAGATCTAACTCCAGACACTTGCGTTCATTTGTTGTAGCGCCACGTCTCTATCAAAGATCTAACTCCAGACACTTGCATTTATTTGTTGTAGTGAGACGTCTCTATCAAAGATCTAACTCCAGACACTTGCGTTCATTTGTTGTAGTGCCACGTCTCTATCAAAGATCTAACTCCAGACACTTGCGTTCATGTGTTGTAGCGCCACGTCTCTATCAAAGATCTAACTCCAGACACTTGCATTTATTTGTTGTAGTAAGACGTCTCTATCAAAGATCTAACTCTAGACTCTATACATTTTTTATAGTGCTACAATTGTTTCGAACAGACTCAAAACTCCAGCATTCAATTGTAGTTTGCTACACCTCGGCCAGCGATCCAACTCCAGACTCCCGCAAGTATTTGTTCTAATGCTACATCTCTGCTAAAGATCTAACTCCAGACTCCCACAAGTATTTGTTCTAATGCTACATCTCTGCTAAAGATCTAACTCCAGACTCCCACAAGTATTTGTTCTAATGCTACATCTCTGCTAAAGATTTAACTCCAGACTCCCACAAGTATTTGTTCTAATGCTACATCTCTGCTAAAGATCTAACTCCAGACTCCCACAAGTATTTGTTCTAATGCTACATCTCTGCTAAAGATCTAACTCCATACTCCCACAAGTATTTGTTCTAATGCTACATCTCTGCTAAAGATCTAACTCCAGACTCCCACAAGTATTTGTTCTAATGCTACATCTCTGCTAAAGATCTAACTCCAGACTCCCACAAGTATTTGTTCTAATGCTACATCTCTGCTAAAGATCTAACTCCAGACTCCCACAAGTATTTGTTCTAATGCTACATCTCTGCTAAAGATCTAACTCCAGACTCCTGCACTGATATCCAGTTATCAAACCAGCCCTTTCTTTTGAAAAATTACCTCATTTCTTGTTTTGGCATTTTAGCCAATCCTGCAGGATCAGTGTTTAAGGAATTCCAGAGAAATTTGACTAACAATTTTTTCAGTCAAGTTTGTCTGGAATTCCTTGTATTAGCTTGACTGCAGTCACCCCTAAATTTTCACAATTTTAGGATCAGTGTTTAGCATACGGTTATCTCATTATTGATTTATTAACTAGCTTTATTGATGGGCTGTGCTGAGGATAAATTCAAACTAAGTTTTTATTCTTTATAATCTAAAATAAATACTTTTAAGCTAATGTTGAAAGTTGGAAGTTGAGTTAAAATATCTCTGTTGACAATATCTAAGATAACATTCTCTTAATATAGTCCATCAGTGAATAATATTGTGTGTATGTTTGTACTTTCAGTATCCAGGATGTGGAGCCTACCCTTCTGGCCCGGCACCGGCCCAGTCTGTAAGTGACATTTATGTTTTCAGTTTAACAAAGCAACACTGAAAAATAGCATTGTTGTTGTATCTTACAATTCATTTAATTTTATTTATTTTAGATTATTCACAAGTTAACATAACATTTGTTTACTTCAATGTGGATTTTGTGTTTTTTTTATTCACGTTTTTTTCATTTTGTTTGTTCAATGTTTCTTGGTTTGTTGGCTGTTTCAGAATTTTATTTTCAGTTGTGATCTCTTTGCCTGATCTCATACATTTCTTGCTATTCATAATGACATGGTTTATCTATATTAATAAAAATGTTAATTTTCCGAGTTTGTTAACTATAGACTCAGAAACTACTGAACCGATTGCTTTCAACGGTGGGGGGGAGTTGATGCCAAACACTGTTAACTGAGAGAGCTTAAAACATTATTTTAAAATTCTCATTTCTTAACTATTTCTATTTTAATAATTTCACCAGGTGATGATTTTTTAATCCTTTGGAGAGGGAGATATGATTGGGGGAGGGGGTGGGGTCTATGCCAGACACAGTTAGCAGAGAGAGCTTAAAATATTATTTTAAAGTTCTCATTTCTTAACTATTTCTTTTTTAATAATTTCGCCAGGTGTTGATTTTTCAATCCTTCGGAGAGGGAGATACGATTGGTGGAAAGGGGGAGGGGGGGGGGGGGGGGGGGGGTTATGCCAGATACATTTAGCTGAGAGAGCTTAAAATATTATTTTAAAGTTCTCATTTCATAACTATTTCTACTTTAATAATTTTGCCATGGATGATTATTCAATCCTTCGGAGAGGGAGATATGACTTCGCCAGGTTATGATTTTTCAATCCTTCGCGTAGAGGGAGATATGATTGGAAGGGGAGGGGGGGCTATGCCAGACACAGTTAGTTGAGAGAGCTTAAAATATTATTTTAAAGTTCTCATTTCTTAACTATTTCTTTTAATAATTTCGCCATGGATGATTTTTCTATCCTCCGGAGAGGGAGATATGACTTGGTTGAGGGGAGAGGAGGGGGGATATGACAGACACTGTTAGCTGAGAGCTCTTTTCTTTCCTCTCCATTTCACCATTCTGGGCCACAGCAACGAGTGGCCAAGTACAGCTAGTCCGTGTATAAAACAATACATTTTTGTAAATTGTTGAAAGTTTAAAATTGAGTGTCATGTTATACATGAAATATGTTTAAAATATTATTTTTTTGAATTTAAGCTTAACAAGTTGGGGTCATCTTATACATGGGGGTGTACATGTATATTGGATTTGTCATACTAAATAATAGAGACCTAAAGAAGTTTTGAATATAGATAATTCTGATATGGATTTTGAGAGTAGCACGATTTTATTTAGTCTCAATGGAAGTTGGCTGCAGTGATTGAGTTGAGTCAAGAATTGACATCACAGCACTCGGGGCATTACGATGCATGCTCCGACCTCATTTTCAGCAGCCAGCACAGAGTTTCAATACTTGTGGTACCAGTCACAATCTGGTTATAAATTGCTTTTCTCCTGAATGTAGTGAGCTGGCCAGACTGATTACACTCAGATGCCTTATTCTCTCCAGGCCATAATAATCTCGTTTCTCTGCTAATTCTGTTGCTTGTTCCCAAAGGGCCTTGACCACATCTGCCTTGTCTTGTATCAATTCACCACCCAGTTCTGCTGATCCAGCCAATATGTCTGCCTGTTCATTACCCACCATGCCGGCATGGCCTGCAGAAAAGATCCAAAGTATGCTCACTACCCGGGACCTTTTCAGTAATGCTTGCCACTCTTGGCTGCAGTGATGTGTGCATTTAATGTTGTTTTTGGAAATATTACATGGTGAGGTCTCTTTGATTTCCATGGAGACATCCAAAGGTCTAATGCTGAGTGTTATGCTATGAACTGACATCTCAGCACTCAGGAAATTCCCATAAATACTTCATCCTTATCTTCAGCAGCCATCAAGGAATTTCATTTTCTATGATGCTAGCAGTTTGATTATATCTCCACCTTACAATTCCTATGAGAGTGTTGTCCAAAACCCCTGGTCACTCTCAGAAGTACCATTTCCTCTAGACCAATAATGATCTGTTCATGCCTCCATATTGTTCATTTGTTCTCAAAAGATCTTAACCACATCTGACTGACTGACCCACAACCTTTGAGCCAACAGTTGAGTGTTTAGCCACTTCACCGCAGTGGCTCCAACATACCAGCATGAATACAAGAATTCTATAACAGAACCCACATTAACCCCCTGTGGGTACTGGACCCCATTTGGGGAGTGGTATGAATAGATCCACTGCCTCTTAACAAACATTTCATAAACTGTGACTAACTGAGGGTTTGCTGAAATCAGATGTTCTGGACAGAAAGGTAGATATCACAGCCTAGCTGTCATTCACAACACAATATACCAACATGATAAGCATAATGGGTAATATGATTATAGAAGTGTCAAGTATTATAGATTTTAAGTATTATCTTTCAGGTCACCATCATCTCCTGAGATATCATTAGTCACATAGAATTTTCAGTCTACTACTCTGTTCTTTTAGATAACTGTTATACACCCTTTTCTTGATTCACAACCTGTGCGACCATATGCCCTTATGACCACACTAAAAACAAATACACAATAAAAGTAGATTAAGATAACTACAATGGTAGGATCCAAAAGTTCCTGGAACTGATGCAGTAGAGTATATATTACATATTTTTCACATTATGTACATCTCTATGTTGAGGGGCAGATGAAGTGCATGGGGTTTCATAGGAAAGGTGAATGGACGTTGCCTAGAGCAGCAAAGCCTTTCATATAATATCACAACCTCTAGTTTGAGAATGGCGGTGGTGGAGGCAGTCTCTGCTGCCTTCTGCTGGCTTGAGAATCAGCTGTACACATATGCTGTGATTGTAATTGACTCACAGAGCATGTTGAGAAAGGTGAAAACAGGCATGCTTCGTGCAGAGTGGCAAGCATCACTTCAGAGGTCCAGGGTTGTTAGCATCCTTTGGATATTTTCCCCAGATCATGCCGATGTGTTGAGAAATGAGCAGGCAGATAGACTGGCTGGCTCTGCACCACTTGGTGGTAAAGTGATGTATCACAAGTTATATATTGTGAGGGCTTTTTGGGAGTGAGTGAACAATGCAGAGGCGCAGATAGATCATTACGGTCTAAGGAGAATGGCGCTGCTTGGAGTTACCAAGGGATGGCCGACGCTCAACATTCAGGGAAAGGATGAGACGGATTACAATCAGACGGTTACTGGTTCCATCAGAATTGGAACTCTTTACTTGCTGCTGAAGATGGGGACTGAGCACTTATGGGAGTGTCCCAAGTACTGTGATGTCACATCCTAATTCAAAATTCAACACATTATATACAATAATTATAAACACATAGACTGAATGCTGTGTGTTTTATTTACTATTTTTTATAACTTGTTTGAATGAAAATAGAGTTGAAAAATATAAACTGAACTTATGACCCAATTAGTCGAAACAGAACCGGGTCATAAGTCGAGGAGATGCTGTATTCTTGAAAAATGTGTTATCTTGTACTAAAAAATGAAAAATACTTTATCTGTTTTCAGTATCCCGCAGGGCAAGGTTATCCCTCAACATATGATTCAGGACCATTTATTCGCCCAGTAAGTGTTGTGTGTTTGTGTCAATGTGGGCCTGAAGTCAACAGAGGAGCAGATCAGTAAAGGAAAATATTCACAGACAACGAGGAAGATTTTCAAATATGTTATCTTATAAGTATATCTATGGTGAATTACAGATGGGTAGAAGATGTCAAATCTAACCTCTACTACGATATAAAGATGTGTGCAAGCGGGACATGAATGATACAGGCATTGAGGTGGACTCATGGTAACAAAATGTCATGGACTGTGTTGCGTGGAGGGGCAAATCAGGAAAGGAATGAGAATATAGGAAGAAATAATCACCATGGGCTGTGAGTCCTATGCCTCCTGTTAGCACAGTAGAACACTGTCATCAGCAAAGACAGAAAGGTGCCAAAAAAACAATCATGAAAGTGTCAGTTTTTGTCTTTATTTTTTTCTTTCTTTCTTCTTTGTACCCTTACCACACCTTTGGTTCACTGGGTATATCATTACATCGTCATTTAGCAAGGCATGTGCAAAGTGTCACTCTCTTCATGGTGAGCCTGAAAAAAACTCGGTCTCTTGCCACCTCTCCTGCCTCTTGCACTTTCCTAGTGCCAACTGCACCTCAACATGGTAGAGGACAGTCAACACACTGTGGTGAGGCTGACGCGGCTGTGGGGGGACCCACTATCCACGGGGATAAGTGAACACCTCTGGGATGCCCTCTGCTCTTAGCAGGAGTATAACAGAGCAGGGTACTGACTTGCCCTGACAATCTGAAAGGTTTGCATTGTCTAAATACATGCAGACATGGAAATCAAGGGCAAACCACTACATTATTAATCCAAGAATCCTATAATTGAAGCATTGGGTATATAGTAATAAATAATAAAATGTGTGAAATCTCTACTATAGAGGTTGGCCGCAGTGAAAGTGTGTGTCCACTGCTGTCTTTGGAAACTTTATCTGATGAGGCCCCAGTCTCTTCTACAGTGGGTATATAGTGCTGGGCCTATTTTTTTATAGACCAAATGGCACTCGATTGGAGTTGCCGTGGCATAGAGGCAAGGCTCTCGCCTGCAAATCGGAAGGTCGTGGGTCCTGACAGTACCAGACTTTTAAAAATATTGTCAATTCAAATGTGAATCTTTAATATTTGTTTAACGGTTAATTGCTAAAATTCAGACCTTACCACAGGTAGTCACAATATGGCAGTAGCTAGAATACTTGCCTGCCAGTCTTATGGAGTTGTGTTCAAATCTCCATTGATGCAGAAAGTGTTTAAACTGATCTGGGCTTCTAGATGGACCCTGCCTAAAATAAGTACTTGGAAGAATTATGGGAAGCTGGTAGCTGGTGAAATATTATCTACATCACCCACCCTTCAAGTGCTCATTGATCTATACAAATTTGGAGCTAGCAGCGTAACCAATAAGTCGTAAGATGTTGAAATGAATACTTTACTTGTGCTATACGACAGCTGTTATAGGTATTCTTCTTCCATTCACTGGCTGTAAATTCCTGTTCTTCATCCACTTATAGACTTTGGTCATGTTTCATGATTTGAATTTTGCATGTACATATAATCTGGCTTATTTTTGTGCAGATCTGTTGGTTGCTCACCTCTGAGTCAGATGCAGTCTGACTTTGAAGGAAACTCTCCTAATTAGAGGTTTCAAAATGGTATGACTACTGTGACAGACTTTCACAACTTGGTTAGGCACACCGATTAGTGACCCTATAATCTGTTGTTGCCATTTTGAAACTTCCTAGTCCACTCATATACTTGCTGGACTGACAGGCATGCATTAACATACTGTTAGCTGATGAATTTCTACTGGTTTCAACCTTCACTGATTGTTTTTTACTGTTATTTGGATAATATGATGCCCCTCCTCTTTAGCGCATGTCAGTAGTGAGGTGGTCATCTTTGAACTGTCATTATGACATTACCCTGTTCATCTGTACTAATGTAATGTGCTTAACACTCTTGACATCCTTAAGGGATCACTAGAGGAAAAAAAAAATTTTTTTACTTACAATGTTAGACCAACTATTTTATAATGGTAATTTGTAGGCATGTATGTTGATACATTTGTAGACTTCAAGTGTAAAAAAACATGGTTGCCATGGCAACAGCCACCATTTTGATGAAAAAACAACATGTACTTAGACAGCTGAAATTTCAAAAACAGAGATATTGAAAAACAGATGATCGATTCATGAACTTCAACTTATGTTTAGGGTCAGGTCTAGTTTATTTACTTCAAAGATGTTTCTAAATATTTTTTTTAGAATATTAAAATTTAGGTATGTTAAAAAAATACAAAAATGTCACTTTTTAAGATAATAATAACATTTAAAAAAAATTACTTAACAAACTGTAATTTTAAATAGACCTGACCCTATAATATTATGTTAGAAGTATCCGCACCAAAGTTAACGTCTCTAGTCTTTATATTAGCTGAGATTTTAGGAGATCCCACACACAACAAACAGAAAAATAGAATTGTTAGAAAAGTTACTTTTAAACCTTTTTTTTTATCTTAAAAAAGTGCATGGGTTAGTGTCTTTAGTATTAACTTTTCAATGCTAAATTGTTTACCAATGACACAAATTTTGTGTGTAATCTATTCTACGAATGCTGAACATTACAAAAATGAACACATTGAAAAATTGATATTTTTGTCATAAATTGGGAAAAAATGCTGTGTAGTGACCCCTTAACAAAACAATTGACTGGTTACAAGACATTAGCATGGTTTTTGTAATTTTTGTCACACTTTTAAGGTTGTCATTTGAAGCCCTGTAATAGTTATGTGGTAGTTAGGTCTCCATAGCAAAGGGATCAAGTGTTTTACCACCTCGCAATCTGATAATCATGGATTTGTTTTGTTGTGGGTTCAGGTTATGAGTGCAGTTTTTTACGTAGATCCCTGGGGATCATCATTGGAGCTATAAAGTTATGCTTTGATGCTGTTTGTAGTCAGCTAGCCATTCTGTGGAGAGAGACCAAGCCATATGGAGGAACCCATGGGCAATGAGGTCAAGCCTCTTGACTTTAACTTTACGTTTAACTTTTCAAATTGTCTTATTTTCTGTCATTGCAAGGGATTTTATTCAATAATCTTTGTAAAAAATGAATTTATGTTTTGTACTGAAATTTTCTGTTTGTTTTATTTCAGGGGTTACAAAATCCCAGTGCGGTAAGTCTTGAAAATAACTTTAAAACATAAGCCACCTGTTAATCAGTATCTTCTTCTTTAGCTTCTTCTCGTCTTCCTCTTTCGTTCTTCATTTTCTTTGTTCCTTTCTCTCCTCCTACTCAAAATCCTCCTCATAATCATCTTCTCTTTCTTCTTGGATGGAAATCTTACCTTCAACTCCCATGTGCAAACTTTTCTACATTTCTTACATTTTTAATTTGCATTCCTCTTTTTATTATTATTATTATTATTATTATTATTATTATTATTAACTATGAAATGAGGTACAAAGGAAAAATTGTATGAAAGGATCGGAGTGGAAGGGCAGAATGTTAGATGGGCCTGCGTGCCCAATTCTTAACCCTTTGAAAATAAAGTTTGTTCGTTCGTTCGCTTGTTCGTTCCTTCTTATTCTTCTTCTTTTTCTTCTTCTTTTTTCTTCTTTTTTTTAATCCCCAGACACCAAATCCAATTGCATTTATCAGTTTACATGTAAGTGTCACTTGTCTTATATAAGTCAAATGGAGAGACAGATTGAAAACAGTGGCAGAACACATCCTTAAAGGGCCCCACCCACAACTGAGTGGAGATCCTGCATCAAGATCAGCCAAGAAGAGAGAACCTAATCTTTCGATAGGACATAATTTTCTTGTTTCTGGACACGTAGTTGGTAAAGTGTGTGCCTTCAGGATTATTTACCATACCGTGAATAAACATTTGCCTAAAGTGGTCAAGGCTGTGTCAGTAAAACTCTATTCTCCTATATTATGCAAACAGAAAGATCACTTGATTAATTTGGAGGTATAGTGATAATCATATGACTGATTTTGAACTTCTTGGGGATAGATGTGCAGCAGCTCGACAATGTGATGGATGCATTTCAGCAAGAAAAGGAATCACTGTGTGCTTCATTATATATTAATTTCACTCTGTATAAATGCACCCGATGAGATGCAGCAACATATGCCAGGCAATAAATTGTGCAGTGTATTGTTTGTTTCCGCATTATTTAAATTTATAAATTAGTCTTATTTGTGGGCTCACTGTTGTTGCCTTGTTTCTCATGCAGACGCACTCTGACTTCCAAGGTAATGCCCCTAATAAGTTGTCTTTCACGACATGCTTGTTATGAGAAGTGGATCTCTTCCCCTCCCCCCCCCCCCTCTCAAATGGGGTCACAGAACCCACACTGGCAAAAACAAATGCAAACTGGCACTCTCCCCCTGTTTATACAGTACAGTACAGTACAGATCCCTTTACACGCCCTTATTTTCACAGACCAATCGGCACTCGGTGGGTAATGTGTTTATAGGTCGCCTCAAAATCACAAGATGCAAGAGAGTCAAGATGAGATTAGATAAATTTTGTTTTTTGAAACTTACAAATGATAATTGTTTAGTAACAAAATTATTTAACATTTTTTCCCCAGTATCCTCCAGAAGGAAACTACCAAACCCCATCTGTAAGTCATATTTATGTTTGTTATTTACTCATTAAAAAAGTTGGGGCTGCATGGTCTCGAGGCATTGTGTCGCCTCGAGTGCTAGAGGTACTGGGTTCAAGACCCAGTGAGGTCTCTGGGTAGTAAGACCAGATGCCCGTGTGTATTATTGTGCACATAAACAATCCCTTGGCATTTGGAAATCAAAATGAGTAGCCTAAGGCATTGCCCATGGAAAATTTGCAGTTAAAAATCTACCCAAAGTATTTCAGGATCCTCACTGGTGCAACGGAGTTCATGCACTGCGCTGAGATTCTTTACTGAGGCTTGAGTTAGAAGAAGAATGGAGCACTTATGGGTTACACCCCTGTACAGTGATGTTGATCCATTGAATAAAACATAAAACATATTACTCACACAGAAACTATAAGAAATTGATAATACAATATTTAAAATAACTTTGGCAATATTGAGTGTGTTTGTGCATGAGTATATATAGGCATCTGTGGCTTATGGTTCATGATCTCACTGTCATCATTCTCTCGTACTAAGGCTGCAGGTGATCTTTCATCAGCTAGCTTTGTTCTGATTTTGACAAATGGTATGAGGCTTAAACCATTTAAAAAGTAATAGCAAAATACTAAACTAAAGTTCCCAGTTAAAAGCACAATCCAACAATTGTTGGGTTTGGTTTGCAATGTAAAGAATATACAACTAGCATGCAGTACCAGCACCTGACTTTAGACCTAATTTGTTTTGGCTCTACTTTTTTTTTCCTAGAAAAAATCCCTGGTAACAAGCATTTAACTCTTTGAGTCCCAAGGAACACATCATACGTTCATAGGTTACTGCCTAGAAGCCCAATGAATGCATGATGTGCCGATTTTACGTCTCTTTTAACTACCCCTTGGGCCTGTGATGCTAAACCCTCTGGGACTCAAAAAGTTAAAGAAGTTACAGAAGCCTAAAGACAAGGATGCTTACCAAATAACTATCTGTTCAAATCCAGTTTCAGCAGGCCCTGAGCTCCCAATCTGAATCGACTTTGTTAAAAAGTGACCATGTTCATCCTGTTTTTATAAAGCCTTGGTAGTAATTCTAGAATTTCGTTGGTAATGTTTTTTTTTGTTTTTGTTTCTAAAGGGCTTTAATAAATTCTAATTTGTATTTGCATCTGGACTCACTTGTCAAAGAAGCCCAAAACAAACAAAAATTCTAAAATTTAAAAACTGAAAATATGATCAGAGAAAAAACATCAGGTAAATGGTTTAAAATTGTAGGAGAATTATATTCATCAGGTAATGCCAAATTTGCATATTAACTCTTTGAGTTCCAGGGGGTTTAGCATAAGAGACCAAGGGGTAGTGAAGAAAGTAATAAAATCTGCGCATTATGCGTTCATTGGGCTTCTAGGTAGGAACCTATGAACAAATGATGTGTTCCTTGGGACTCAGAGAGTTAATAAAAATTAACAATTTTCAATCATTTGTTTACACTAGGTTCACATTTTTTTTTTTTTAATTAAATAATGTTACACATTACAGAGTACTCCTGCCTTTCATGAACAGTGCACTTAGTTTTTTTTTTTTTTTTTCAACAATGCAGGTATCTGTGTTTTGTATCTGGTGATGTCCAGCTTATGGGAGATGTATGATATAACAGTAAACACAAAAAATCTCAGCCAAATGCTCGAAACCACTGACTTGTTAGCCTAAAGTGGAGATCATAATCTTGCAGCCATGCTTTCTCCAATAAATGCTGTAAAGCTAGTGTATATGCAGTGTTACAGGATGCATTAATAATATTTAGAATTTTTTTTCTTATGAGTTAATTTTTTGCAAATGGCAAAACTCTTAAAAATAGTTTGATGTAGGCAGTCATTTTTGGACATATTGTTAGAAGGAATGGACTCAATAACCTGGTAACAACTGGAAAGATTGGTGGAAAGAGCAAGAGGAAGGCAAAAAGATGAATACCTGGATATCTGGGCCATGTGGATTGGATGATCACAGACCTAATCTGATACTCTGGTGTTCATGGGAGGTTGTAAAACTTGAGAGTTTATGTCCATTAGCATGGCACATGATGAGGATGTATCAGTTCTTTCAGTTCCAAGTGAAGGTAAAGGTGAGAATATCTACCTTATTGCACCGGGTTTTATCCCATGTGGCTCAGTCTCTTTTTGCAGAACAGCTAGCTGCTGCCAAGAGTGTCACACAGAGCATGACCTCTGTAGCTCTGGCATTGATCCTCAGGGATCTCCATAAAAATTACACTCATGAACTGAATGGCACTGCCATGAAATGAACCCATGACCTTCATAGCATGAGGCAAATGGCTTGACACTTCGCCACAGAGACCCCCTAGTAACCTTGCAGAATCTGCTAAATGCAATGAGTCAAAACAAACAAAAGTGTCATAAAGAGTTGGGACGTTATGTTGAACATCAATAATCAATCATCAATTCTCGTTATGCCTAGTGGCAAATGAGGCTTCAGAGAGGACTTTCCATGCTTTCCTGTCCTGTGCAATCTTCAGTGCAGTTTTCCATGTCAGAGATGCTGCATTCAGGTCACTCTCCATCGTTCATCTCCATGTTGTTTTTGGGCACCTCTTTTTTCTCTTTCCCTCTGGTATCCATGTGAGAGCTGTTTTGGCAGGTATATATAAGGATTCATTCTCATTGTCACATATCACTCCTGTCCCGTGCCTGATTTAAGGATTTCTCCTTAAGAACCAACAGCACTCAGAAATAATTATTTTGAGTAGTTGGCTCGTATTGGTCTAAGGGATGCCCCGTGGCCAATATACGCTCAACTTATTTCTGGAGTAGGGCAACTCAAGTTTTTGCACTACAAAATATATATATATATAAATATAATATTCCTAGGCACACTTGGCTGGACGCCCCCACTACTCTAAAAAGATAGCCCCCAGGTTATGATAGTTTAATATCATAACCATGTTAACACATATAACACTTATTATTCATACACACATATCAATGCTAAACAATTAGAAAGGTGACACAGGGACACCTAAGTCAGCCATGAAAATTAATGTATGTAATAAGTACAAGTTATCTACACATATTAAAGAATAGATTTTCAAGAATGTTCAAAGACTCAGGACTCAGTGATACGACCCAGATATTGAAGCAGCCAGATTGTCTTGAGATGTATACTAATTCATCCCTGGAATACTGCTGACCTGTGGGAGGAGAGCATGATGAAGATCAAACAATCACTTATCCCAGTTCGTGGATCGATGCTCCCCTCAGTCCATGGAGATTCGACTGTAGTTGACTCAGGTATCTCTGCCTCTAGTTGATCTGGTACCAGTGGATTACCTCACCATCGAGGACACAGAAACTGCATAGGGACTCAACAAGTCTCTCTCTCAGGTCAGGTCACAAAACTGTCTCAGAGCCCAACCAAGCTCCTGAAAACTGGTTCTCGAGATGAAGTACACAACAGTCGGTAACTGTTCACTTGTCCTGGAGCTCACAAACTTGCTCTTCCATGTTGAGGTGTTGGCATACAGGGCAGGACATGGTTATGCTTGGTGCATAGAATGATATGGGTTGGTGGTTGTTGACTGGACTGTGATTCGTCTGCCTGATCTCTACAGAGGTCTCATCCCAAGCTTAGGAAATCTTCCAAGTTAGAACTGGAACTGTGAATTCGCCAAATTCTACACTGAATGGATAAACGTCTTGACGCTTCGGGATCAGGCAAAAGAATGGCGTTTTTCAAAATCAAACGCGTCACCAAAAAAGAAGTTGCTTGTATTAATGACCAAGGAGTAAACTGGTTTCCAGGAATTTTCAAATAAAACACCAGAAACACCCACTTTACAGTTGCAAGTTTGAAAATGAAGAAATATCAAAGCAACTACAGGGTCCAGAAATTACTATTTTACCAGATAAAGGTATAGATCAATATAAGGGACTATATACCTTTCCGGACGGGTCCAAGTTTGAAATTTCTCTGAGCGCGGGGAATATCAGGTCCCAACTCGTCCACTATGTGTAGTGGCTGTTCATTCCTTGACACTCATAACATGGCCAAACTAGTTCCATCTTCTCTTGGTTATCATACTGTCTAGAGTTTCTTGGTTTGTGACTTGAAGTAGTTTAGTGTTTGAAATTGTATCAGGCCAGAAAATTTTGGAACACCAATAACATAGGCTGAAAAGATATGTGTTTGTGAGAAATGGAGGCGCTGCAGGGACACAGAAGAGATAGAGCTGATTTTGTTTTTTTTCTCAACAAAATTGATAGCTACTGGAACACTTGTAATAGGCACACACACAAAAAAAACACTTATGAACGAATGTTTAACTCTTTGAGTCCTGAGAAACACAACATACATTCATAGGTTCCTACCTAGAAGCCCAATGAACGCATGATGCGCAGATTTTATTACTTTATTTACCACCCCCTGGGCCTGTGATGCTAAACCTCCTGGCACTCAAAGAGTTAAAGAAGATGCAAGGTTGGATGAAATAACATGTGAAAGAACGTGTGAACTTGGAATTAGAAGTGGGTCCAGCAGGGAAGGACGTATGAGAGGACGAGAACAACTTGTGTGCTATGAGAACATTTACCATCTTCTCCTTAAAACATTTGCTGTGGAAGATGGAGCCTGGTGTACTATAATGTTGATTCTTTAATCATTAATAAGCAGAGATAACTGGCCTGGGTACTATCACTCATGCTGTTTGTGCACAGTCTAAAAATTGATTTTGAAAGTTATGGTTTTTTAACTCTAGATGTTTAGAATTAGTTATTTAAAGTTTGTTATCTTTACTTTCAGTATCAAGGAAGTGGAGCATATCCCGGAGCCCCATCTGTAAGTGATAATTATTTTTGTAACGTAAAATGTAAGACAGAAAATCGCTGTGGCCTATCGGCTAGACGCTTGTGTGCAGATCGGAAGGTCATGGGATTGCTCCCTGGCGGAGCCGGACTTTACAAAAATATAATTTGATTTCCAGGTCTACCCAGCCTTGAGTGGATA